GAGTGGAGCAACCTAGGGTTTAGGGTTTAGGGTTTAGGGTTTAGGGTTTACGGCCATGGGGATGATGGAGGAAAGCGCCAAAATGAAGGAGTGGAGCAACCTAGGGTTTAGGGTTTAGGGTTTAGGGTTTAGGGTTTACGGCCATGGGGATGATGGAGGAAAGCGCCAAAATAAAAGAGTGGATGAATTTCTCGTAAAGCAAAAAAGTGGCGACGGCGTCGGAGACGGAATAAACGCAAAGTCGCTGGGGGTCGTTTTGGGCCATGGGGACCTGCGGAAATAAAATAAATAAAATAAATTAATAAATTAATTAAATTAATTAATTTAATTAAATTAAATAAATTAAATTAAATTACATTAATTAATTTAAATTAATTTAATTAATTTAGTTGGATTAATTTAGTGCGGTTTAGTTGGCCGAAAAAGAACAAGTGCGAACTGAGAGCTGCAGCCGGAGGGAGAGCTGGCCATAGAATGGGACGCCCACGCAAACCCTAAACCCTAAACCCTAAACCCTAAACCCTAAACCCTAAACCCTAAACCCTAAACCCTAAACCCCAAGATCCTGTTGCACAGCGAAGTCAACAAACTGTTCACCAACGCGGGGGTGTTTCCCGCGCCCTGCACTCTAAACCCTAAACCCTAAACCCTAAACCCTAAACCCTAAAACCCTAAACCCTAAACCCTAAACCCTAAAGAAGGGCGAAATGTTGCACAGCGAAGTCAACAAACTGTTCACCAACGCGGGGGTGTTTCCCGCGCCCTGCATAAACCCTAAACCCTAAACCCTAAACCCTAAACCCTAAACCCTAAACCCTAAACCCTAAACCCTAAACCCCCACCCTAAACCCTAAACCCTAAACCCTAAACCCTAAACCCTAAACCCTAAACCCTAAACCCTAAACCCCAAGATCCAGGCCAAAGGAAGCAAAACAATGAAGTAAAAGAGATAAGAGAACTGAATGGAGGAAGACAGCACATTTGAATAAAAGGAACAAAGAATTAAACAAAAGAAATGAAACAATTGAGCAAAAAGAATAAAAGAATTAAATCAGAATGTTCTTGAAAGTCCTAGACAGAAACCCTAAAAAAGGGTTTTTAAAAAGGACAAAAGAGGCTTTTGGATGAAGCAACAAGGAACAAAAGAGACCCTAAAGGGTTTTAAAAAACACAAAAGGGACTCCAAAAGGGTTTTAAAAAGAGACAAAAACGACTTTAAAAAAGTTTTAAAAAGACGCAAAAGCCGTCCTTGAAAACCCTAAAAGGGTGTTAATCAGAGACACCCTAAACCCTAAAAGGGTGGAAAAGACTCGCCATGTCTTCGGGGTCGACTTCGACGGGATTAAATCCAAGTTTGGCTTTGCAAACTGTCTTCAGTGTTCGAGAACCCTGAAAAAGAAATTAAATAAAATCAATTAATTAATTAATTAATTAATTAATTAATTAATTAATTAATTAATTAAATTAGTATATTAATTAATTAATCAATTGCATAATTTAATTAATTAAACAACTTGAATAAGTGTTTACTTAATTAGAAGAGTTTTCGTTCAATTTGGTTTTTGGGCCCCTTTGGTTGTGTCTTTCTGTTTACTTATTTGCCTAGGGTTTAGGGTTTAGGGTTTAGGGTTTTGGCGAACCTGGGGCAAGTAAGAGTCCCTCTCTACCCACTCAAAAGCTGAATGCCTAGGGTTTAGGGTTTAGGGTTTAGGGTTTAGGGTTTTGGCGAACCTGGGGCAAGTAAGAGTCCCTTTCTACCCACTTGAAAGCGTCTAAATGAATTAAAGGCCCTATTCCAACTACGGGGCCTCCCAGCTCTTTTTGCTGCAGCCCTAAAGTCCCCAGAAAGTCGACGCCCAGCACCTGAAAAGAAACAGCAGGTTAGGGTTTAGGGTTTAGGGTTTAGGGTTTAGGGTTTAGGGTTTGGGGGCTGGGCAGCTAGCTAGCGGCCGCCTTTGTTTCAAGGAGACAGAAAGAAGGAGAGAAGAAATCAAAAAGAGAAGACAAATGAAGAGACAGCAGTCTTTTTTAAAAGGAGACAGTTGCTGCAACGATGGAGAAGAGCAGCTGCAGCAGCATAGCAGCAGCAGCAGCAGCAGCAGAGTAGCAGCAGCATACAAGAACAGCAGCAGAAGAACAGCAGCAGCAGCACAACAACAGCACAAGACAACAGCAGCAAAACAGCAACACCAACATCAGCAAACCAACAACAGCAGCAGCAGCAAAACAACAACAGCAACAGCAGCAACAGCAGCAGCAGCAGCAGCAAACCAGCAGCAGCAGCAGCAGCAGCAGCAGCAGCAGCAGCAAACCAGCAGCAGCAGCAGCAGCAGCAGGAGCAGCAGGAGGGGCGGACTTGGGCGCGTTTGATGAGGTAAGGGAGGTCGAAGTCGTCTCCGTTGTAAGTGACGAGAATGTGGGGTTTGAGTTTGAGAAGGAGACAGAGGAATCTTTGGAGAAGAAGTTTTTCGGAAAGTTCATTAAAAACGACGAAGTCCCCGGGGCCGCGGAGTTCGGGGCGGGGGGCGAAGCCGAAGCAAGGAGCAGCAGCAGCAACGCAGCAGCAGTTCAGCAGCAAATAACCTTGCCCGTTGCAGACCAGAGACAGCAGCAGCAAAGGGTCTCTTGCTGCTTCCGGGAACTGCAGCGGCAGCTTGAAACACTCAATGTCGAACGCCAGCACCGACAAACCAGCAGCAGCAGACAAGTCCTCCAAAGCCTCCAGCTGCAGCAGCAGCAGCAGCAGCAGCAGCAGCAGCAGCAGCTGAGGCAAAGCGCCAAGCGGGGAGGCTGCAGCACAGCTGCAGCAGCCGCTGCGCAGGCAGCAGCACAGCTGCAGCATGGGGTGGTGCAGCAGCAGCAGCAGAACTGCAGCAAGTGGTGGTGCAGCAGCAGCAGCAGAACTGCAGCAAGGGATGCAGCAGCAGCAGCAGCAGCAGCTCAGCTGCAGGGTTTAGGGTTTAGGGTTTAGGGTTTAGGGTTTAGGGTTTACCTTTAGAGGCTCTGTGACGTCCGGCTTTTGCCGCGAAATGGAATACCATCGCCCGCAGCGAATGTCCAAGTCGATGCAGCATCTGAAGACAAAAACAAATAAATAAAATAAATAATTAAAATAAATAATTAAAATAAATAATCAAAATAAATAATTAAAATAAATAATTAAATTAATTTAAAGTAAATAAATTGTAAATGAACAAATAATGAGAAATAATAAATAGGGACAATGCTGGGATAAAGCGACAAGACGCGACAGTTGGAGACAGCAACAACCACCACACCGAGATGCCGTGCAGCCTGCCCCGCGAAGGGCGAAATGTTGCACAGCGAAGTCAACAAACTGTTCACCAACGCGGGGGTGTTTCCCGCGCCCTGCATAAACCCTAAACCCTAAACCCTAAACCCTAAACCCTAAACCCTAAACCCTAAACCCTAAACCCTAAACCCAAGGTAAAACAGGGAAACGGCACCTGGTGATGTAGAGGACATCCGCCTCGTAGAGATCATCAATGAGGCCCAAAGCGTCTTCTTGGGGGTCTCTGTCTCTGCTGCTGCCATCTGCTGCTGCTGCTGCTGCTGCTGCTGCTGCTGCAGTGTCTCCTTCTGTCTCCTCGCCCTCAGCCACAAACCGCCGCCGGTGCAGCAGCTCCCTCTTCCCTTTCTCCCGCGCGCTTTCCCGAACTGCAGCAAACAAGCAATTAATTAATTAATTAATTAACAAACTAAATTAATTAATTAATTGATTAATTAATTAATTAATTAATTAATTAAGTGAACAATTAATTAATTAATCCCTGTGCACAGCACCAACACCACCAGAAGAACCGCAGCAGCAGCAGCAGCAGCAGCAGCAGCAGCAGCAGCAGCAGCAGCAGGGTTTGTGTTCCCGCACGGATTTTGTGTATTTCGAGTCTGGCGTCCACGAGGTCTTTGACAGTTGGAAAAGAAAGTTTCAAAAAGTCCCTTTTTCGATTCAAAACCCCAAAAGCGTCTTGCGCAAACCCTAAACCCTCGCGCGGGCCGTAAACCCCCAAGTGCGCGCTGTCCCCGGGGTCCGTCACTGCTGCCCGCTCTATCCGCACCTGCAGCAGCAGCAGCAGCAGCAGCAGCAGCAGCAGCAGCAGCAGCAGCAGCAGCGGCAGCGGGGGAGGGGGGAGGCAGCAGCAGCAGACGGAGGGGCAGCAGCAGCAGCAGCAGCAGCAGCAGAAGCACAAGCAGAAGCGCGAAGATGCCTCCCAAAGCAAAGCGTCTCTGTCTCTCCCTAGTCAGCTAGCTAGCTAGCTAGCTGGCTAGCTAGCTAGCTAGCTAGCTAGCTAGCTCCTTAACTAGCTGCAGCTAGCTAGCTAGTTAGCTAGCTGTCTCTTTCTACTTGCAGCTAGCCATCTGTCTCTCTCTGTCTCCGCGCTGCCTCCTGCTGCTGCTACTGGTGCAACTACCACTGCCGCCGCCGCCGCTCCTGCTGCTGCTACTGCTGCTGCTGCTGCTGCTGCTGCTGCTGCTGCTGCTGCTGCTGACGTTGTGTTTGCTGAGCTTCTGGGCAAGGGCCTCCACGACCTGCTCCCAAGCTGCTGCGTCGCGGCGCTGCAGCGCCACACAGAAGTGGGGCCGGTGCAGCAAAGTGCTGCGAAAGACACAGCCTTCTTGACTTATGAAGTACAAATTAATCCCTGCAGCAGCAGCAGCAGCAGCAGCAGCAGCAGCAGCAGCAGCAGCAGCAGCAGCAGCAACGGATGATGCAAACCCCGCACGCAGCCTCTTCAGCACGCAGCAACAACGCGAAAAACGCAGCAGCAGCAGCAGCTGCAGCAGCTGCTGCTGCTGCTGCACCCCAATCGCAGTTGAGAAGCTGCAGCTTTCAACACAAGCAAAGCAGCAGCAGCAGCAGCAGCAGCAGCAGCAGCAAAGCCCTTGGGTGGCAGGTCACCTGAGAAGGTTTGCTGCTGCTCCCTGCTGGCAGCAACAGCAACAGAGGTTTGGCTGATGTTGTAGAGATACCCCACACGCCGGCCCCCGCCTTGCCAAACCTCCACTCCGAAGCGGGACTCCAGGCTGCTGGGGCGGCTTGCTGCGCTGCTGCTGCTGCTGCTTGCTTCTGCTGCAGCTTCTGCTGCTGCTGCTGCTGCTGCTGCTGCAGCTTCTGCTTCTGCTGCCGCGGCGGCGGCTTCTGCGGCCGCTTCCGCTGCTGCTGCAGCTTCGCGCTGCCGCCGCTGCTGCGGCAGTTTCCCCCCGAGGTCCTCCACGTCCATGCTGCTGCTGCTGCCTGCATGCGAGCTGCTGCTGCTGCTGCTGCTGCTGCTGTTCCGCGCGGGCCCCATAGCAGCATAGGCGCGGCTCCCTGGGGGGCCCCCGGGGGGGCCCCCTGGGGGGCCCCAGGGGCGCATCGCTCTCTCTAGGGCCGCGAAGAGGGGGGGCCCCCAGACAGCGGCATCCGCAGCGCAGCCGAGGTAGTTGAGGGTTTGCTGCTGCTGCTGCTGCTGCAGCAGAAGAGCCGGAGCTGCCGCGGACAAAGAGAAGGTCGCGCGCGCAGTGAGTCTGCGTTTAGTAGGGTTTAGTAGGGTTTAGTAGGGTTTAGGGTTTGGCTTGGAAGAGGGCCGAAGGCTGGGAAGCGTGCGTGTGGCGTTTGGAGAGTTTGGGGGAAGTTCGAGGAAATGCGGGTTGTTGGCCGGGAAGGCGCGTTAAAAAAGAAGGTGTTTGCAAAAGAAAGGTCGAAAAGCGGTGAAGACCGCAAAAGGGGGCTGCTGGAAAGAAAGAAAGTGATGAGGGGTGGCGGGGGTGGTGTTGTGTGGGCGGTGGGCGGTGGTGTTGTGCGCGAGGTGTGTCGGTACACCTGAGGAAGTGTCGTCCCGCGAGGCAAGAGGGCTTGAATTGAGCGCGGAATTGAATTGGAAATGCAATTTGGAGTAAAACGGAGGTTTATTTGGGGCTTAGGGAGGGTTTTTGAATTAAAAGGCGGCTTCCGCGCATGCAGCGTCGCCGCAGCAGCAGCGGCCGCCTGGGGCTGGGCTGCGCGGCGGCCGCGCGTCCTCCCCCCCCCGCTGCGCAGCCGCAGTGGTGGGTTTGGGAGTTTGGAAAAAGCAGAAAAGCAAAAAGGTGCATTTCGGTTTTCTTTTCAAATTCGCGGCCCTCCTGGCTGGCTCTGCCTGCTGCCGCCGCCCCGCCGCTGCTGCTTCCCGCCCCGCATGTAGGCATCGCAGCTGCGGGAGTGCTGCTGCTGCTGCTGCTGCTGCTGCTGCTGCTGCGGGAGAGTGAGAGTTGTTGCTGCTGCGGTGCGCTGCAGCATTTTCGGCGGCGGCGTTCGCTGTGTCCCCCCCCTGCTGCTGCTGCGCGGACTCCGCAGCAGCAGCAGCAGCAGCAGCAGCAGAGGCGGTTCTTTAGCAGCAGCTTGGGAGCGCTGCCAGCAGGTGCGTGCGAGGCGTGTTGCTGCTGCTGCTGCTGCTGCGAAGATGCACCGGGACTCGGAGCGGGGCAGCAGCAGCAGCAGCAGCAGCAGCAGCGGCGGCTACCGCG